CTCCCTCGCACAGAAGAAACCCTCCCTGAAGCCCTGGGGAAAACCATCCCCAACTCTTCCCAGGAGAAGGAAGTGCTGTCCCAGGAAAGGGAAGCCAGGCCGCGGGCTCACCTGCTCCCTGTGCTCGCTGTGGAGCAGCCTGGGCAGCCCTGTCAGGCAGGGCCACTGCCAGGAGGAGCAGGAGGAGGAGGCGCAGAGCAAAGGCCATGGTGCCTTGCCCTCTGCCAGTCCTGCAGCTCTTGCTGCCACCGCTGTCCTGACACCGCTGTCCCAATGTCAGCACCGCTGCTGCCGCCGCCGCTGCTGCCGCAACAGTCGTGGTCAAGGACTGACTGCTCGGTCCTCGTGGTGCTGTGCAACCACGGGGCTCTGGGACCTCTGGGACCTCAGAGCCTGCTGTCACCTCAGCCTGCTGTCACCCCACAGGCTGCAGTGACCTCATGGCCAAGGTGGAATTGTGTGGGGAGTGGGATCTGCCTTCTTCACTAGGGAGCTCATCCTGCCCAGCAACTCTGTCCAAGGGCTATGACAGGGTCCCAGCCCAGCTGATCTCACAGGCTGGGGGATGAAGGGATGGAGAGCAGCCCTGCTGAGAAGGACTTGTGGCTGCTGCAAGGAGAGAGGCTGGACATGAGCCAGCCATGTGCCTCCAAAGGAGGCTGCCCAGCAGCTTGAAGGAGGTGATTCCACCACCCCTCTGCTCTGGTGTGAGCCCACCTGGAGTACTGCATCCACCTCTGGGTGCCCAGCACAGAAAGGACATGGTCCTGTTGGAGCTAGTCCAGAGGAGGGACAAAATGCTCTGAGGGCTGGAGCCCCTCTGCTTTGGAGACAGGCTGGGAAAGCTGGGGGTGTTCAGCCTGGAAGAGGGAAGGCTCCACACAGACCTGATTGCTACCTTTCAGTACTTTAAGGGGACTTGTAAAAAAAAGACAGGACAGAATTTTTAGTAGGGCCTGTTGTGACAAGACTGAGGGGGAATGTTTTCAATCTAAAAGACGGTAGATTCAGACTAGACATAATGAAGATGTTTTTTACACTGTGGGTTTTGAAACCCTGGCACAGGTTGCCCAGGTCGGTGGGCATCCATCCCTGCTGACATTCAAGCTCATGCTCTGAGCAACCTGATCCAAAGGTGTCCCTGCTCTCTGCAGGGCACTGGACTAGATGGCCTTTAAATGTCCCTCCCAAGCCAAGCCATTCTGTGCTGCTGTGCACCTGCAAAGCAGTGCTGGAATAATGCTGGGGTGATGATGCTGGCACCTGTGTTTTGGTAGTTGTGCCATTTAGCTGTTGGCCAAGAGAGGATTGATGGGCTGCACATTGAAGTCTGCAAGGAACAGTGTGCTCAAGGAGAAACAGGAGAGGAACACGGCTCCCAGCTCAGATAAATGCCAGCATTTTGCTGCCCATTCCTTGTAAAGAAATAGAGCAATGTTCTGAACATCCCTTCAGTGTGGGTGCACTATTGGCTGTATCAGTGCTTGTGTTCTGTAAAACAGGTGAGTTGTTACAGCTTCTTGCCCCATTTATCACTGGATAAAATCCAAATATTGCATTGCTCCATGTCTCCTTTCTTCCAAGTAAAGGCAGATTTTGTTCATTCTTCAGTGGTACATATTCATCTGTTGACAAGCAAATTCTTCTTGCCATTCACACAATGTTGATTTTCTCTAATCAGATTGTAATTAAGACTTACCTCTCACTCTAATTAAGGCTGATGGATTGTGAGGCAAAGTGTTGCATAATTTGCCTTGGAGAGAGTTTTTCTCTAATTCAATGACATTTGAAGACAGGTGTAGCCTACCATACTTATGGCATTAGTCTCCGACTGTCCTTTTCTCTCACCCAAGGGGAGGATCGAGGTCTGCAGGTCTCATCTGTGCACAGAAAGAGTTAATATCTCACCCAGACCTGCAGATGGTCATGATGGTTTCTGCTGGGCAGTTGCTGAAGCAGTCACAGTGATGGATTTCAGGCTGCCCTGGGGCTGTGCCAAGATCTCAGGGGGCCTAGCCAGAACAGTCGTGGCCGTTCTGGCCTCATGGCTGGTCCCAGGCCCTGCTTCCTTCAATTTCAGCTGTGGGCTGATGGCTTCCCCTCCCTGTGCCCGGCAGCCGCTGGGGCCACGCGGGCCGTGATGAAGGGGCCTGGCCCAGCCCAGAGTCACTCCCAGGGCCTGGCGGAGCCCGGCTCGGTGCAGGCCAGGGGGGAGCAGGGCCGGCCTGACCAGCACCCAGTTAACTCTTCACAGCTGGAAA